TTTATATATATATATATATATATATATATATATATATGTGTGTGTGTGTAAATATATACATATACACGTGCGTATGTATGTACCCCCCCCTTGTGTAAGGGAAAAAGAAAGAAAAAAAATCACATTTTCATGTAAAATCGACGTTTAGATCCTTCCTCGATGGAACTTATCGGCCAGGACGTGTTATTTATTACTATTATTATTATTATTATTATTGTTATTATTATTATTATTATTATTATTATTGTTATTATTATTGTTATTGTTGTTGTCGTTAAGTTTATTCAGTTTTGCCGAAATCTTACAAAATAACGTGTAGATCATTCGTTTGCGCAGATCTTTGAAAAATATAACGCTAGTGTCGAACATTCGATGCAAAAGATAAAGAAAAAGAAAAAAGAAAAGAATATCGATTTATTGAAATTTATTCGAAGGAAAATTATCGAAAGTGTATCCTGTATCATAGGCGTCTTCGTTTAGCCCATATTCAATATTTATCTTTAGATTTATTTCTCTATTGTTCTTTTTTTTTTATATAAGTTATCAATGATATTTATTGTATAACAAGATATATATATATATATATATATATATATATATATATGTCCATGTATTTAATTAAATGTAACTTCAACGATAGTAATGTGACGTTACAATATTGAAAATTATATTATATATCTTGTTCTTCTATGAAATAATATATATATATATATATTTTTTTTTTTTTAAATGAAATAAGACAATAAATATTGAATATGGGTTGATTAGCATGGCTGTGATGCTTATACTTTATGTAAATTCTTTCGTATGTTTTAATAAATCGACATTTTTTTTCCTATCGACACATCGTTCCTAATATTTCATTAATAATAAATTTCCAATTCATATTTTGGTACCAACAGAAATACGTCGCGAAGAGGATTATTTTACAGAGAAACAAAAGATAAGTATAAAATATTCTTTTATCAAATGATAATTTTTTAATATTCACATTTATGAAAAAAAAAAAAAAAGAAAAAAGAAGAAGATATTAGATATCAAATACTACATAAAATAATTATAGATCTAATCATATTTTTCATAATATTATTTATGAATTAGAAATTTTCGATTTGTAAGTTTAAATAATTATAATTATAAACAAATAATAATTATCTAATTAACATATATCTTAATTGTTACTAATTATTTATCTATATACTGTATTGTATTCTTCATATTGATTTATATATATATATATATATATTTAATATATTTTATATATATATTATATATAAAATAATATATAATATATATATAATATATATATAATATATATATATTATATTTAATATATATTATATTTAATATATATATATATATTTAAACGAATATATTAACACGATATATGATAATATTTTCAATAATTATTTGATAATATTTATTGTCAATAATTATTTATTTTTATCTCATAGAAAATTATCGTTGGAACGTATGCCTTACTTGAAGTAATCGAAACGTCAATCGGAATGTTCAAAATCACTTGATCAAAAGCAAATGACGTAGCCATTAATCTTCATCATAGATCACAACACATTTTTGTATTGTCATTGTAATACATGATTCAAATTTCAAGATAAATGTAATTTTCGACTTTGCAATGATTAAATTTTTAGATTTTATCAAGCACAAATAAATATTGACAATATTATGTACGTAAATTATATATATATATATATATATATATATATGTACAATGAAATGTATACATTCAAAAAAAAAAAAAACAATCTTCGATATATTAATGAATGAATCATTACGATTAAAAAAAAAAAAAAGAATCTGATTAAACGAACTGAAATTTATGATTTTACGTATTGTAAAAAAAAAATTAAGATCAGTTTTTTTTCAAACTTTTATCTGATCAATAAAATTTAATGATTGAATAATTATAAATACGAAATTTAAGGGAGATACGTAAAATTACATGTTTGAGTATATTTTTGTTTTGTTTATCTTATTTTGCATATCAAAAATTGTAAAGCTTTTATTTAAAAAATTATTATACTTCGTACTAAACGTAAAGATTATATTTTACATCGCGATTATTTATGTTCGAAATTTATAAAAGGTTTTTCTTTTTTTTTTTTTCTTTCTCTCGATATAAAACAAATTAAAATGATAACTTTTATTGTCCCATTCTTTTTTTTTCCCCTGTATCTGAGATAATAAATTATTTTTTATCTCAGTTATCAAGAATTAGTATTAATTATTTACTTTCTCGTCATTTATTAAAACATTCTATAATATTTTTATAATCATTATTAATCGTAACTGTTCCAATAAAAAGTTGATTATTTTAATAGATATTGATAATTAAGTTTTAAAATAGATATTTGCTTGTTAAATTCAGAAAAATATATTTATTTTAATAATGTACGAGTAAAAATTATTCGAAATTTTTATCTGTCAACTTTTTACTATCTCGTGCCACTCCTATAGTTGTCGTATTCTTTAAAATTACAAAATCAAATATATTCGTATTAGGATGTATCTGTATTAATATATATGAAATATGTAATAATGTGAATTATGAGAATAACTATGGAATATGTGTGCACATTTTTTTTAATCATTTAAATCATCAAAACAATACGAATAATTTGGAAAAAGAAATAAAAAGAGGTATATACAATTGAGTTGAGTCTTATGAAAAGATTATTTATTTTGCAGCCATAAGTAAATTTGAGTATGTAACCAAAAAAAAAAAAAAAAAAAATATATATATATATATAAAGCATTTCTTTTTCTTGGCGTAGATATAATTCGTATGAAACCATCACACATTTTTTTTGTTTTGTTCATTTGTTTGTCGTTTTTTTTTTGTTTTCTTTTTTTCTTTTCCTTTTCATTAAATACACTTATAAGATAACTCTTGTTTTTACTTCAAAAAAACAAAAATAAAAAAAAAAGGTATGTTTTTCTTGAATAAAAAGGGAGTAACATAATTTTCATTATTTAAATAAAAAATATATCTAGAAATATTTGTACTAACAACTTAAACTCCCGCCTTATGCATCCCTCTCTCTACCTATCACCCCGCTAATCACAATATTTTACTAGAAATTAGGATTATTCTTTACCGACAATGCCGGACTCTCATTATTAGCATTTATAAAATGTCCTTTTTAATATAATAAATATTTTGAATGATTAATAAAATGAGTCCCGTATAAAAAATCCGTCATAATATTGACGAACAGACGGTATTAATTATATTCGCAATATAACAATTGTATTCTCATTCTTATTATATATCCTCACGTATGTTATTATCGATTTTACTATAAAAAAACCAAAAACGAACGTTGTTAGCATGTTTGGTTCACTTTTAATTACTGTACTTAATGACAATCCGATAACAACGATAAATGTTTATGTTAGAATTGAATTTGTTTTAACAAGAGTTTGTCTTTGTTTATTTTTTTTTTGTTTTCTCACAAATAAAATATATACATACATATATATATATATATATATATATATATATATATATGTATGTATATATTTACATATACATATAAATATAGAATGAGGACGGGCCAAATGTGAACCAGACAATTTTTTTAATAAACCAATCTATTATAAGATTTATCTTTTAATATATTATACTACTTTTCACTGCAATTAGGTCAAATCTTGATATATTCTTTCTTATAAACGGACAAAGCAATCGAATATATCAATTATATAATATACATTGATGCTATATATGGAATTGAGTATTCTCGATGAATATCATATTACAACGAATATTATTATTCATTTATTGCAATGTAAAATATTACATTGGGATAACTTTTATAATATAGAATTAAAATATTCGATTGCTTCGCAAAATGCTTTCTAATTATTGTGACGTTATTATAATTGACTAAATTTGTTTTAAGAATATTTAAATTATATGAGATAAGAGTAAAATCATCTTATTGATGCATTACATTGTTGCATGGAAGACGTGACTATTGCAATATAAATTTTTATTGCGTTCTGTAAAAAACGGATATAATATTATCATGAAAGCAGTGAAAAGCTATATAAAAATATTTAAAAATATTTTGTAAATTCCATTGCATATTATTATATACTTTTTTTCTTTTTCTTTATTTTTGTTTCATTTTTTATTTTTTTTTTTTTTTTATTTTTTTTTTATTCATTTATTTATTGTTTTCTTTTTAATATATATTTAGCATTCTTGGTGGTACGTTTAAAGAGGACGAATAAAATTGACAATTAATTAATTGAAACAATCCAGTAATTATAGGAACCGAACAGGCCAACTAATGTCAAAGTAAAATTTTGGTTTTGACTATACATATTCTTCATATATATATATATATATACATACATACATACATATATACATATATATATATATATATATATATACACGGTTATATAAATTAATTTAATGTAAAGCAAACACATTAAGGAAAAAAAAAATTGATAAGAAACCCGAAGAAAGGTTTAGCCTCTGTACTACAACCATTGTAGGAAATTGATATATTAATTACGAAATTATTCATAAAATTGTCGTTATCTTTCTTGTTCCTTTAATGGTAATTCTATTCCAAGTATGCTGCCTTGATGCATCAAAACCAGGAAACAAAAGTATTTTTAAAAGAGAAACATCAAAGGCAATCCTTCGCTGATTCATCTTCTCCATAGGCTTCGGGTAAGGCTGTGGTCTGACCACCACTCATTATATCAGAAATATTTCTAGTATTGTTCGTGTGTCCAAATGATTTTGCACATACGCTAAAATCTTTGGTAATTTCACTAATATCATTATTTTCTGAAGATTGACAAGACGATGGCACTTTAATCGTAGATATACTATCCCCACTGGTATTGCTTTTATTATTGAGGCACGAAACGGATGTTGCCGTTGATGTCGATAATAAATTTCTTGTCTTTTCCAAATTTAAAAGATATTCCTAAAGAAAAATTAAAATGAGGAGCATTCAGGGGTAGGATGTCTTTTTTTTTTTTTTTTTTTTTTTTTTTTTTTAACATTGTATAATGTAAATGTTCAAAAACAATATACCTTTTCATTGCTATAATCCATATTAATCGGACCACCAGAAATTGTATTTTGTGTTGTATTAGCCGTTTGACTAGACTGAGCCAAAGCTATTAATGCCTTTTGGCTTTCCCTTGCATCGACTAAGAATATACTTTCTTTAACATCTTTCGAATTATATACATCAATTCTATAAAAAAAAAAAAAAAAAATTCATGACAAATCATTAATCCAATTTAATTAGAGATATATCATATTAAATTATATGATTTTTTTAAAATTTAAATATACTGACTTATCATATATGACCGCATGTAGGCCAAGTTTTTTAAGATGACGAATAGTATCCTTATCGTTATTATCATCGCCCCAACAGAAGATGATTAAACCAGCATCTTTCACCAATTTTACCTGGGAAGGATCTCTAAGTATATCCTCGGTATGAACATTAATTCCTAAAATATCTGCCGCCAATGCGTGTCTTATAGCCATTGGTACTGTTTGACATCTAGGATCATGATAAGTCGGATACTTCGAAGTTATCCCTTGTGTTAAAAATACAACTGGATATTTGTTCTGTTTCAGACGTATCATAGCACAAATATCAGGATTGAAGGATGAAAAAACTATTTTCCTGTCGTCCCCATATTCCAAAACAACTTTCAATATTGTATCCAGATACATATTTAGATCAAATGGATGATTAAGCTCAAATGTACCATCCTAATTGAAATAAAAATCGAAATAAACGTGTTATAAATCAATGGCGATATTATATATAACATTATTACAAAAAATAATTTTTTTTTTTTTTTTTTTTAAATAGCATACTTTTAATTGCATGGTCCATTTTATTTCAATATTGCATCCAACATGCGGCTCTAACTCAAGTAGTACACTTTGAAGTGTAGGAAAGGGTTGATGATCTTCCAAATCTTCGTCAAAAAATCGAGGAATTTTTTCTCGACCTTCTGCGACATGATACACCTATAAAGTAATATATAAACATTATGATAACAATTTAATTATAGCAAACTCTTTCAAGGTGCTATTCTTTATTTAATAAAAATTTGTGAACCGAGCATCGAATGATTTGCAAGAAGATATTTCTTTGCAAGCAGAACGATATAAATTTCGGAAGCATCATAACATATCCCTTGTAATATTGTTAACATGCTATGGTAAGAAGTGGCTGTATTCCTATGAATGATTTTTATAAATTGAATTTTTATTTTAATGGACATTAAAGAGGGGTGGAACTGGTGTATACATGATTATTAAAAAGTGATTGACTTTTTTAAGTAATTCTATGAAGAATCCTCTTACTAATATTGCCTTGATTGATGAATAAGATATCTTTATATCTTTTAATGATTTTTTTTAATCATGAAACTTTGAATTTCGTTTTTTTTTTTCTTTTCTTATCAGCTAGAATAATTTATTTATTCCTATTCTTATGAATAAAATGACATATAAAATTTGAAAAACAAATGTTCCTTTCATTTGAAAAACAAATGAGTCTTGACAAAATTCACTGTTTAATTAACTGATAATTATGTAAGCATGCATCAGGTTATTCTGAAAGACATCTGATCAATTAATTTCTGGCAAAGAGCCAAGCTGCGAAAGCGATATGAAAGCTCACCAGTTGGTTAACCCCCTGCTCACTTTTATCAACGAAATACAGCACCTTACCCAACGAGTCGCCCGGGTAATAAAGGTCCTGTTGAATATTAAAAATAAACAAACACGAATGGAAATTTCATATAAACGAAGTTATAAATATATGAAACCTAATGGTTTTATATTAAATGCACTTCTCTGTAATGACACCGTAAAAAAAAAAGAGAGAGAGAGAGAAAAGAAAAAAAGGAAAAAAAAAAAGAGAAAGAAAAAAAGGCACATCGAAAGCAAAGAAAGCATTAAAATTAAGCTGTACACTGTAAGTAAATATTATATGAAAGATTATAATATTTGGATGCTTTATTAATTAAATCTTAGACTGAATAGCCTGAGATAATATTACCAAGCAAATATGCAAAAATATATATATATATATATATATATATATATATATATATATATTTATTATACTATCCCATTGTTTATTGATTGACTAATTATAGAATATTTATTTTATTAACTTATATGATATTTAAATATAGATCATGAAATACATAATAAAAAAAATTGTTTTATTCAGACTAATAATAATATCTTCTATTCAAAAATATTATTTAATTAAATATTATAAAAAATGATTATATATATATATATATCAATAATGATAGCATAATATAATTAACATACCTTCAATAAATGAAGTTGTTCTAAAGTTAGATCCTTAACCGGTATCTCCAGTGTGTCCATTGCTTCTATTTGTTTTTTACGTTTTAATGAAATTGATACATAAAAGTCATGATATATAACTGGTACATAATCTTTCGATAATTGAACGTCAAATTCTACCATATCAGCGCCATGATATGCTGCAGTTTTTAAAGACGCTATAGTGTTTTCTCTCACGTTAGCACAACTTTATGAAAATAATACAAATACATTTTTTAATATTCTCTTAACCTTTTCATAAAAACATTATCATTTTATTAAAGTATTATTGTTCGATTTATTGAACAACTTACTTTTTTGTTTCAAATTTAAATGAAGTACCAAGTCCTCTATGGCCAACATCCAAACCAGACCATCTTTGTTCCCAATGTTTTGCATATGAAATACTCATATCCCATGGATAATTCGGTATTGATTTTATAACAACATATTCGACTGTTAATTGTCCTATAATATATATATATATATATATTATTTTTTAATCAATTTAATGTTTTATCAAATTTCTCTTATTAAATAACATAAATCTTCCTTACCAATTGGTCTATGTTTTGTACTAGTAATCGGCACTGTCAGGATCCCAACACTGGATTGCAATGTACTAGGTAAGATGTAACTGAATCCAATATGATTTGGTGGTTCACCTGGGAAAGTCCTTGAACTGTATACGTAGTAGTCCACTAAATATGCCTGAAACAATATTCTACTTAATGCAAATTTGGAAAAATACAAATATTTCTAATAACATAAAAGCGCTTACAGAACACTTATAGCTTAATAATAAATATTAGAACTTATTCTATACATGAAGAAATTATAGTGATCAAGGAGACTAACATCGACGAACTTACTATTATGCATTTACCTTATGGTCGGTTAGCAATGTAACTGCATTAAGCAAACAAATTTAACTGTAAATTAAACATTCTAATAACAACTAATTTGATATTCCTTGATCACACACACAAAGGTGTAGGAATTAAACTGTATTTTCTTCATAAACATTTTTTTTTTTTTTATATATATATATACAATTTGTTATATGCCAAAGCACTAAAAGTTATGCAATGTTGCTTGCTATTTGTTGAAAAGAGCAATAGAAAATATTGAGAATTTTTAATTGAAATAGGACATAATTTATTTCCTACATAATCTAGCAATGAACCAAACCAATAATTGCCAAATGCTGTACACTGCTTGGTGACGGAAATCTCGCAACACCTGCTGATCATTCATTCATATTAAATTTCGAAATCAAATATCTGCAAAATTTGCAATTCAGATTCAGAAGATATGGACAGCTTATAGTCTGACATTGCCCGCACAGCGGTGTCACGTACAGTACAGTAGAGTTGGTCAGAGCTAGAAAATATTAGTAATACATCTAAAAGGATATAGAGAAGTGATGGGAATCTCACCATTTCCGACGCACACAGATGGATATGACATGTGATAGCGTTGACATCGCAAAACTTTTAAAGGGGTGGCACATTTCTAGGATGACTATGACTAACGTAAATCGATCTCATGTGTATTGTCGAATTAGTGAATGAATAAACTTTACAACATATGATGGAAGAGAAATCAATCAAATTTGTATACTTTGATGAATTATTAATTAGACAATTAAAAATTTACGAAAGACAATAGCCGAAAGGATGGGTAGAGGTAGGGTTAACGACAATCAAAACCATCATATCTCTGTGTGATGTCATGTGACACAGACGTAAAGTGGTAGATGATGCTTAGCATCGATACATCTGATTGCATGTTATCATCGTCATTTGCACCAGACGTCTTGCTTTGTACAAGCAGAAGGATGTCTTCTGTCCAACCCATTTCGTTTGACGCCACTGGCAGATTCCAAGGAGGGCAATAGCTGCTGAACAAGTTTAATTATCTTTTACCAAATAATTTTAATATATCACGATAGAAGATGTGGCCAGCCTACTCGTGGTCTACTGAAAACTTGGTCAATACTTATTCCTTCACTGTGATTTATCTATTTGTGAATCCACCATCAGTCTGCCATTAATTGCTCCTTGGTATGTTTATTATTGTAATTATCATTATGTATTCAAGTTTATTGCTCTTTTAATATATATATATATAGTTTTTTTTATCATTAAATTTTTTGAAATAAAAAATATGAAAATAAATTAGTCAACTTTTTACAAATATCGTATAGTATAGTCAAATGAATATTAATTTATATTGAACGAATGTATAAGCGATAAATACCAGCTAATGGTTTATCACGAATTTATGCATCTATTGTCCTTTGTTAGAAAACTCAGTATTACACTTACAACAGTTTCAGGATAACGAACAGCAACATTGAAGATAATACACTCGTCTTCTTTATAAGCTCGACCAAATTGTTCCTGGCATTTGAAGTGTGCTTCTTCATCGTTCATCACCTTTTATAAAGAAAAATCCAAACAAATGTTACTTTAATTTTATATATTATGTTATTAAAAAAAAAAAAAAAAACAACAGAATAATTTACACTTACAGCAATTTCTGTAATACTAAAAGCAGGTTGATCAATAATGTCTTGTGTATCCATAGAAAGACTATCATCTATACACTCATTTCCAAATTGTTGTAATTCTAAAGAGTGTTGCCTAACTAAATTTACTGGAGTCATCTATGTGATAATAAAGAAATTATTATCTTTATATCTAATTTTTTTTCTCTCTTTTTTCTTACTTATCTTTCTTTCAATGATGATAAATAAAAAAGAAATTAAATAATAACTATACCTTAATATTAACTTTTCTATTTTGCAATCGATGTTTCCATAATTTAATTGGATTATCAAAAATTTTAAATTGTATCACAGTTTCATCCGTAAGCCAACCACGTTCAACTTTACAATAACCATTATGACAACCAAATATTTCTGGATCTGGCAAGGTATCATTCACAAAGTTACTAGGTACTGAAATGAAAAATAATTGTGTTACAAAAAAAAGAAAAAAGAAAAAACAAAAAAAAATGCACAAAATTATTTCACGAACGTACCATTTTTCTTAATGTGACGAGATATCATATGTGTTTCCCACTTGCGAATAATAAGAGTCTTTGCTGAATTCTTAGTACCATTGGATTGACATATAACGGCAATAAAATATCGATAATCCACATCTGCATCAACGGGTAATGCAACCTTTTGAGAAAACGTCTGTCTTCTGAAATATTTATATCTTGACAGGTAAGTTTAAATTATAATTAGTATAAATATCGATTAAAACAAGATATTTGGAATGTGATAAAATTATCAAAGTACAATAATTTATGAATATAATTTGCAAGATGGTTCCCAAAAAAAAAAGAAAGAAAAGAAAAAAAAAATATATAATAATACTTCATCGATACTTACTTATCTATCTCATGATAAATATTATCTCCTGCTTCTGTTGGTTTATCATTACTATAACACTCGGTTGTATTATTCTTACTATCAAAAAGTAATGAAGCATCCTGAGCATTGTGCTCTTGGAACATTTGAATTGCCTGATTATGATTCCATGCCCCTAATTCAGGTAAATTTCCAACGACATATAAACATTCATTTTTTTCCAAACCCAGTACCTATAAAAAAAACACGACGATTTCATTGCGTTATATTTTCTATTTAAAAAAAAAAAAAAATTATTGAACACATATTAATAAGAATCATAAATTCCTAATCACCTGTACTCTAAAAACCCAATCTCTCTTTAAATCCTTCATGGTGGATGAAATATCCTCAGACGTCACGTTGATAGAAGTACCTTTAGACGTTGCCTCTAGTCGTTTGATATCCTCCTCTTCTTTGTTTTCTATAAACCACATCCGCTGCATATTACTATCTTTATCTTTTTTCTCAATTGTTCTCTTTCAATTTTCTGTGTTTCAAGATGTGTTCAATTGAGATCAGCTAATATTCTGTAATAAGGGCCTTTTTGTGATATACCTTATAGGTTTTCCTTCATCACATTACCGATTGTGCAGAAAATTCTTATGGTGGAATTTATTAAATGATTTTATTATATTAAAAATAAATTTATATATTATTTTATTTATTAAAATTATTTCCTCATACTACTATGTAATTATTATGTTATTATTACAAGATTACTTTTGAATATATAATATTATACTGATTCTTTAAATCCAATGTATCATAACATTCTACATACAGTCAATAACAGAAAACAATGTAATTTTATTTATGCATTGACTTTATATATATACATACATATATATATATATATGTCATCTTTAAGTTAGCAAAGACGAAAAAAGAATATAAGCTTTCTTTGTCAATAGTAATATATCATCCAACAAGCTCCTCTTGATAATTTAATACTCATATTATCTTTTATTGCATAGCAATACCATTGTTCAAAAAAAAAAAAAAAAAAAAAGAAAGAAAAAGAAAACACTTCTTATTACGTTAGAACAATAGATCTAACAACAATATGACGTAAACATATACGACCATATGACCAATAACGATTAATAATTCTACTTGCATGAATATACTACAAATATTTATATATTATATAATTTTTCTTTATTAATAAATCAAACATGTTGTGATTGACAATCCGACATATTTAATGAAAATAAATCCCATTTAACGTAACAGAAAAATCTTATCCCCGCAATATTGCAATAGTAATCAAATCAATTCGATTTTGCGAGAAATTGCAGATAAAATTCAGATGTGAGAAAAAAAAAGGAGATTAACGTAGACGAGATCAGAAATGAAAAGAAAATATTTCATAATTAATTCTATCGTAATAATTAAATCATTATGATGCGTTATTTACCTCTGTAGTAACCAAGAAATTTTCGATGAGATGTTATTTGAACGTGTTTGGTTTAAGTTAATTCGTGTTATTTCACGAAGGCCCAACCCAGGCACCTCGTGTTTTTAATAAAATTCAACATAACTGATTTTATCCTGACAACACAACACTATTATTTCGACATACGAAAGAACGTGCATTGCATAAATGATAAATTTTTTTTTTGCCAGATACTAACATGAGTTGAACGACATTCGATTTGGCAACGTGGCGGATATCTGGAAATGGCGTCACTGACTGGTGATCGTTCTTTTTTCCTTTTTTAATTTTTATATTCGATATAAAATATTTAAGGTATTTGTTTTAATATTTTCAAAGTTAACAAAATGTTTCTTACAATTTATTCGTACGTATATCGTCATTTAAAGTTATAATAAATTAATAAAATGATATTTTATATCTTATATATAAATTGATATTATATATGGTATTGCATACAACAAAGATATTTTAAAGACGTACGTATATATATATATATATGTACACATATATATATATATTTGGTTATTTAATAATGTTCCTATACAATAACCTTAATATTACAATTTACATGTATAAATAATATTAATAGTATTTTCTTTTATTTCTTTAAATATTATATTTATATTTTTTATTAAATCTTTATTTCTTTTTTTTTCTTTTGGAAAATTATTAATTTCCCGCATTATTTACATTAGAATCGATAAAACAATATTTCGTGTTATTTAGTTGGTAATATAAAAGTATGAATCTTGTATTAAGTCTCCTCTACATATCTGTATATTTTCATTTGTATATGAGTTTAGATTGGCTACTTTTATCGTACAAGGCTATTAGATCTAGCTTTATATGTTAGATTTTTTTTTTATATTTTATACTGCGTAGTAAATTTAAAAGAATCTATTCGTGACGTAGCATAAATCATTTCTTTTTTTTTTTTTTTTCTTTTCTTTTCTCTTTTACTTTATAGCACAAATATTGATATTTATCATGTTATTTCTTATAAAATATACATACATATATGTATATATGTGTGTGTGTGTGTTTGTGTACGTATTTAATAACATTATATAATACCTAAATAAGAAAGAAATTGATAAGTCATATCAAAATTATCAAACTTCTTAACCCTGGATAATGCGGTCCTTATCATTGATCAATTCACATTTCCATTATTTAGGTTCATTAGTTATCATTCTATTTTGTTATGGTATGACATAAGATTAGGATAGGTAAAATATAAATATTATTTTCTGTCTATTAATTAGGATACATTTATTAAATAAGGATAATTCTTTATTAGTGTGAAAATTGCGGATGGGACATTTCATTAATTAGTGACGGTATATCAACAGAAATGGTACTCGTTGCTAGTCTTAACAAAGAACATAAAGATTCTTCTGTTAGCATAGCACGATATTTTGATTTGATATATTTCATAATAGAAAGACTATTTTCGCATTTATACGTTGATCCAAACATAGAACATATTTTCAAACCTAAATCTATTAATTTTGGATATTTTTCTTTTGATAATAATTTAAAAAATTCAAGACCATATTTGTTTCTAATAAGCAAAAATGGATCAGCTTATAAATTATAAAGTTCTAATCTATATGGAATTTTTTGTTCTTTTATTATACATCCTTTTGGGTTATTAAAAATTTCCAGGATATTCTTCAATAAGTTGAAATCTTTGTAACATCTGTGAAATTGTTCTTGAAACTTTAATAGTTGTAGTCGAAATATCGAAAAGTTTACATTTAAGTGAAACTTAGCAATTTCTTCGCAGGATGGAAAATGATGTAACTCATTTGCTTACAATTCAATAATAAATAATTTAATTTTATTCTGGAATCCATTAATATAACCAGTCAAATCAGAAATGGTATTATTTTGTTTTTGCAATTGCAAATCTAAATGATTTAGATGATATGTAATATCTGTTAAAAATTTGATTTTCTTAAAATTCTCCTGTATATCTTTGGTATTAATGTTTGATTCATTTTGTAAAAATTCTAATATATCCTGTCTTAAATTAAAAAATCGTTTCAATGTTTCTCCTGTACTTAACCAATGTACATCATTATACAAACATAAATTTTCATCTTGTAAAAATGCTTGAAATTTTTTTTATGTGAAAGTGACCCATTCCTATCTCTAATTAAATTTATAACTTTATTTATAATCTTCATAGTAGAGCTCAACATTAATACCTCTTCGCATAATGCTTTTTGATGCATAATACAATAAAATATTGGACAGTTTATTTCTTTTTTTTTAAGAGTCCCCGAAATCCAATTTCTTGATCAATCATTATTTTCCTTCCATTCATGAGAATTGCAGAACATTTGGAAAATCCTTCATATTTTTCTACTTGCTCATAGATAGCATTGAAGATGTCCATTCCCTTTTTGGAATGTAAAGGAATCAATGCTAACAATTCTTCATGGATGGAATAATTATTATCTATTATTCTTACAAAAATTGATAATTGACTTGTATTCATTGTATCCACACTTTCATTGAGACATAATGAAAAATAATTACATTTTTCTAATAATATTTTCAATTTATTTTCTATATGCCCATTAATTTCATTAACTCGTTTAGAAATGGTTTGGCTTGACAATGAGACTGTTTTAAAACTTTCAATTAATTTTCATTTTCAAAAGATTTTGCCATTTCAATGGTACATCTTTTGATTAATTCCCCATCGCAAAAACTTTTTTTCGCACGTGCAATCTCTAATGCAACAGCATACGAAGCTGCAACGCTTTGTTACTGAAACGTATTCAAATTATTAATTTGTACTTTATTGTCATTTTTACATTGTTGCTTTGAACTATATACTACTTATGGCAAATACACTTTTCTAATAATATTTTTAATTTATTTTCTATGTGCACGTTAATTTTTTTAGAAATGGTTTGCCGCGACAGTGAAACTGTTTCAAAACATTCAACAGCATTTTCATTTCTAAAAGCTTTTACCATTTCAATTGCACATCTTTCAATAAGTTCACCAATACAAAAACTTCTTTTCGCACGTGCAATTTCTAATGCAACAGCATACGAAGCCGCAATGCTTCGTTTCTTATCAAAACCTTTAAATTCTTTTCCTTGTGTATCATTTTCAATTTTATATTCATGTTTTAAACTTTTTAATATTTTTACACGACATTGCGCGGTACATCTATCATATTTTTCTTTATGGCAAGTATTATAGTGTCGAGAAACGTTACTTTTTTTTAAACTCGCAAGTTTTTTTTTACAAAGTAAACATTGCGGTTGTCCCCCGGAATTAATGAAAAAATAATCTATTTCCCAACTTTTTTGAAACTATCGATTTTCTTTACGAATTTTTCTTTTTACCATGATATAATAGAGTAAGAGGATAATAGAATATAAAAAATGGAAAATAATGAAAAATAATAATGAATTAATATAACAAAAAATAAGGTAGATCAAATATAGTGGGGATCTCTCTCCTCACACCTTACTGGAGAACAAAAAAGTAGGAGAAGGAGCCATATGTGAGTCGCCAGTTCAACGCTTTTGAATTATATCAATTTACTGTCATCTAATTCTTGGTAGTGCTGCTATATTTGCTCTTCGATCGGTAAGGTAGAATGCATTAGAATGCATATAAAGAAACTATTTTCGAAATTTGATAAATTTAAAATATGTTACTCTTATTATTTAATACATAGAATTTAATAGCCAATATCATAGATATATATATATATATATTATATTCAAGTATATATATATATATATATACATACACAGTAGCTTCTTTTGAAAAATATGTAGTACCAAAACTATAAATGTAATAAGAGATAATTTCACTTATGAGCAATAAGAGACAACATCTCTTCCTATATTATTTGTCTCCTATTAGAAAAATATATTGTTGTAATATATATGTATATATATATATATATATATATATATATATATATATAATATATATATTGTAATATATATAAATAATATATGTTTTAATATATATATATAAAGGAGATTATTATATACAATTTTTTTATAATGTAATTTTTAAAATAATTTTTTTACAAAATTAATTTTCGATTCAAGGTTGATTACCTTCGTTTATACAATCATTGCCTGTAAAGTCAGAATTTCCAATTAGTGATACCTTATTTCATAGATGGCGCTTTTGTATCTTTAAACAATATGATTGGTCGAAACCATTCAAGGCCAACCAGTCAGCTTCTACTTTAGTCAACAAGACAGTAGATTTCTTTTGGTAGGTAGGTAAGCATAAACGGTAGACGACGATTAGGTCTCCGCGCGTAATAATCCGTGCTTCAACGGAATCTCACACATTTCTACGTTTTCGCGGCGTAACGAAAGTTCGTTCCGTTGCTAAGAGCATATATTAGAGATATTAAAAGGATTAAATATACAATAATAATAAGACGTAATTGAAATCAGAAGAAATATTTAATTAATAAATAAACAGACAAATAAAAGACCGGTTATTAATCAATTAGATTTCTTGTTTAAACAACGTTTTTCAAATTTTATCAAAAATTCAAGCTTGCTTTATAGAAAAGAGAGAGAAAGAGAGAGGGAAAGAGAGAGAGAGAGAGTGAGAGAGAAAAGTGAAGAGGGGAGAGGAGGTGACGGAGTGGTGGAAGGGGAAGGAACGTGGAAGCCGGTAAGAACGGATCGATCGTGAAAGACAAGACTGTGTCAACCGTTCAACCATCATCGAAAAAAGCTGCATATTTTTCGAACGTGCTGAACTTCCTTCATATTTTCTATCAAAATTCAGGTAAATCTTCTTTCAATTTTTTTTCCCTCCCATTCATCTTTCATTACCACTTATTATTCTTCGTTTGTACGCTTATACGAAGGATATTAATGAGAATCGATTTTAATGCGAAATTTCGATTATCGAATTGACGATAATTTCGATTATCGAAAGCTCTTTTTATTGCATACTGAAGAGATTATATGCACATATGGTTAGTAAAGAAAAAAAAAGTATTATGATTATAATAAATCGAATCGATTCATTTTTTTATGATCTTATTTTTTATGAAGATCCTTCTTGAGGATAAATTATAATCGAAAAGATTTCAAGCGTTTTTTGTCTTTATTTTTATTTTCTTTTTCTTTTTTTTTTTAGGATTTCGTTTTGTAATATTTTTTTATTCGAATACGTACTTGTCTCTCTATGTATATGTATATATATATATATATGTATGTATATATGTATG